CATAGAGAGGAGAGAGAAAGAGAGAGGAGAGAGAGAGAGAAGTCAACAAAGATAACACAAGGAAGAAAGCTAGACACATCAATATAAAGAAAAGGAACAAGCAATAAAAATTGAAGCCAGAAACATAACACAAAGTGTCATCAGTAACTACAGTACATGAAGCTCTAACACAGTCCTTTTATTATGACATAATGAATTATCACTGAAGACTAACTAGACCCCCACTTGTACAAGGTATAGAGTAATAAAGTAATTGGATTACTTATACATGCTTGATTGCACATGAACATAATTAGCTCATGTATAGTGATGTGTGTCTGGAGGAAGTGCATCATAAAACACTAATAGACTTTGCATCAATAACTCAATAACTTATGACATTTCCAGACAGAGCACAAAGTGAAGGAAGAGAGAGAGAGGGGGAGGTAGAGAAACTAGACAGGGAAAGATGTCAGACAACACCTGGAGGCGTCCAGTTTTCAGAAAGCATAAAGTCATGAAGTACATTACAATAGGTCAATAGAGGGCATCATCAACCAATACATGTAGATACAGTTCCATTTCATAACAAAAGCAGATGATACTTGTGATATGTATATCTGCTGCCATGCCAACAATGAAGAAGGGAAATGATGATTTGGATTGGACTATTCAGTATAATCCACAAACACTAAAATCATCACTATGTAACAAGAACCACAATACATGCATAATGCTATAGAAAATGATTCCAGGCGGAAGAAACTATGATGATTATTGTATAGCAGCTGTTTCAGCTATTGAGTGACTACCCACAAAGAATAATACAAGATTATATAAATACTGAAGGACTGAATAGGCTACATAAACACATTATATCATACAATTGTTCTCCAAAGTGATATAACACAGCTAAGAGTACATGTGTACATGTTTTCTATAGAAAAACTGTCTTAGCAACTCTTAACTTTTATTACATTTTCTGATACATATTGATGTCCTTATGCTGTGTAGAAAGTTTGAGCTGATTCCGACTTCAATTTTTCAAGTTACGGCCATTTTTTAAAAATGCCAAAATTCTGAAAAATACCCTGTACTATAGCCCATGGTTTTTTCGAAAAAATGGCTCCGAAATTACTCCAAATTTTTATTACATTTTCTGATACATATTGATGTCCTTATGCTGTGTAGCAAGTTTGAGCTGATTCCGACTTCAATTTTTCAAGTTACAGCGATTTTAAAAAAATGCCACAATTCTGACAAAATACCCTGTACTATATACGCCCATGGTTTTTTCCAAAAAATGGCTCCGAAATCAGCCCCCATTTTTATCCCATTTTCTGATACATATTGATGTCCTTATGCTGTGTAGCAAGTTTGAGCTAATTCCGACTTCAATTTTTTGAGTTACGGCCATTTAAAGAAAATGCCAAAA